ATTAAATGAGCTATAATGTATCATAAATTACAAAAACCAAAAAGTGCTCTCCGTTAAGTAGGCCAAGTAAATTTTTGCAAAAAACAATCAAGTAAGATTTGTTTTTAGTGTCCTTTGAAATTTTTAAATAAGAATTTTCAAAGAAATCGAAAGTTGTGTAATTTAGTAGATAATTGTTTTCTGCCCGATAACTTATATAAGTTATCCGATGGGATCGGAACAAATGTAAACAAACGATTCACGGCGGAGTTGTACTGGGCTGCCAGAAGCCGAATGGGCTAATAGCCAACGGCACAGGTAGTCTGTGGGCCAGACCCCCTTACCGTGCACCCCCCCCCACATCCCTATAAATTGCATATCGTTGTGTTCCTTGTAACAATTTATTAAAAAAAAGCCAATGTTCCCACAAAAAAAAGTGAACGCACTGCCCCAAAATGGCGTCCAAAGATGGCGGATTGACGACTTTGACTTTAGTTAGTTTTTTGGTCACTGAGAATCAGCATTAAGCTTAATTTCCTCATAGTTGGTCTTTTATTAAAGCTGAATAGTTATAGAATAATAAAACATGAAGAAATATTAAAAAATAATTGGCTAAGGCTATGAAAAACACCAGTAAAGTCAATTTTTTTAACAAAAAAATTTTCAAGTTACAAATCAAGCGTCGTTTGTAATTAAACGGCCTACAATAACGCAAAACGTGCTGAAATAAACCATCTGGAGAATATATTTCTCTTTCTGAAACGCTGATTATTTTTTACAAATGTTTAAGTAGTTCCGTAAAAAATGCACTTATGCGGCAGAAAAGCGGTACTGGCGTGGGTGCCTACAGGCCTCTACCACACCATTCAGTGCCCATAAATGGCTTAGTTATAGTGATATAATAACATTTTTGGTACATTATATTGGTTTTATTAACGAACAAATATTAATGCAATAATTTTATAGTAAAAAAAAAAAATTAAATTAAAAAAAAAATTTATTATTATTTTTTTAAATTTTAACCTCCTTTATTCTATACGTAGGTCGTTTAAGAATACCTCAATTGTAAAAATGATATAATTATAATAATAAAACTTAATTAAAAAATATTTTGCTAAATATCTTGATTTTTTTTTATTTAACGTTTGCAATTTAACACTGTGTTTTGAATATTTACTGATTCTTAGAAGTAATTAAAATTTTTATATACTTCCCAGGAAATGAGTCATATTCATACCTTTTTTATAAACTAAAATAATATATACCTAATCTGAACTATATATAATGAATAGCTACCGGGTTGTTTAGTAAAACTCATATATCACTAATTAAAAAATTAATTTTTATTTCCTTTATTTTGTGCAGAAGTTGGACTATATCATAAATAAATAGGAAATTTTAATATTGAATGAATTATTCTCTATGCACAAAGAAAGATATAAAGGGTGACCCTATAAGTTCTTCTATAAACCAAAACTGATTGTTTGGATTTGATCTCAAAATGAGGAAAAACGTGAACTTAAACGAGAAAATTGGAAAAATACATTAAGCGAACGAGAAAGGAAGTGCCAAAACCTCGGAATAGATAAAAAGGACCAGTTATATCCATTATATAGCTAAATGAATGTATAGTAGATAGATGAACAGAATATTTCAAGATGCTGCTAAAACGGGATCAATTGCAGTTTGGATGATATTAAGTGGACGATGTAGGTTTATTATGGTGAAAACCACTTTATTTTCGATTGCTGAAGGTGCACCTCGGGACTATATTAACTTTGAAGATGAATATAGAGATGTATATCGAGAAAGTTATAGCTCATAGCTTTCCTTCTGTTTAGTGGATTTTCAAAAGATTTTTTAAGGGATCTAAAAGGAAAACGAGTTTTTCTGAAAGACAGTTAGATATTAGCATAATCCAAAGTGTGAGGCACTGAGCAGATAGAGAGCTATTTTTCTTTTTATGTGGACTTCTCTATAACCTGCCTTAAAGTGAAGACAGTCCCAATTTTCAACTTCTCTTCCAATGTGCAACTTGAGTTTCTCAATCCATATCACTCTGGCAATCGACAATATTTCTTATTCCAGCTTCTACGATTCTTGTGTATAATTTGTTTGATACACTAAACAGGAATGGGTCTTGATGGGTATTACATTTCCTAGTATCTCCTTTCTTGTAAAGGTAAAAACCACAGTCCTTTCATATTATTTTCTAATATGCTTGTTGCCTATGTACGCGCAAAACTGTCAAAGCAGTTCGGTTTCGCCCTTTCCATCTTTCTTTGTGCAGAGAGAATAATACATTCAATATTAAAATTTCCTATTTTTTTATGATATGGTACAAATTCCGAACAATTCAAGAATAACGAGAAGAATAACGAGCTACAACTAATATAAGATACCTTAAAAAATCTTTTGAAAATCCACTAAACAGAAGGAAAGCTATGAGCTATAACTTTCTCGATATACATCTCTATATTCATCTTCAAAGTTAATATAGTCCCGAGGTGCACCTTCAGCAATCGAAAATAAAGTGGTTTTCACCATAATAAACCTACATCGTCCACTTAATATCATCCAAACTGCAATTGATCCCGTTTTAGCAGCATCTTGAAATATTCTGTTCATCTATCTACTATACATTCATTTAGCTATATAATGGATATAACTGGTCCTTTTTATCTATTCCGAGGTTTTGGCACTTCCTTTCTCGTTCGCTTAATGTATTTTTCCAATTTTCTCGTTTAAGTTCACGTTTTTCCTCATTTTGAGATCAAATCCAAACAATCAGTTTTGGTTTATAGAAGAACTTATAGGGTCACCCTTTATATCTTTCTTTGTGCATAGAGAATAATTCATTCAATATTAAAATTTCCTATTTATTTATGATATAGTCCAACTTCTGCACAAAATAAAGGAAATAAAAATTAATTTTTTAATTAGTGATATATGAGTTTTACTAAACAACCTGGTAGCTATTCATTATATATAGTTCAGATTAGGTATATATTATTTTAGTTTATAAAAAAGGTATGAATATGACTCATTTCTGTGAAGTATATAAAAATTTTTTTTTTACTATTAAATTATTGCATTAATATCTGTTCGTTAATAAAACCAATATAATGTACCAAAAATGTTATTATATCACTATAACTAAGCCATTTATGGGCACTGAATGGTGTGGTAGAGGCCTGTAGGCACCCACGCCAGTACCGCTTTTCTGCCGCATAAGTGCATTTTTTACGGAACTACTTAAACATTTGTAAAAAATAATCAGCGTTTCAGAAAGAGAAATATATTCTCCAGATGGTTTATTTCAGCACGTTTTGCGTTATTGTAGGCCGTTTAATTACAAACGACGCTTGATTTGTAACTTGAAAATTTTTTTGTTAAAAAAATTGACTTTACTGGTGTTTTTCATAGCCTTAGCCAATTATTTTTTAATATTTCTTCATGTTTTATTATTCTATAACTATTCAGCTTTAATAAAAGACCAACTATGAGGAAATTAAGCTTAATGCTGATTCTCAGTGACCAAAAAACTAACTAAAGTCAAAGTCGTCAATCCGCCATCTTTGGACGCCATTTTGGGGCAGTGCGTTCACTTTTTTTTGTGGGAACATTGGCTTTTTTTTAATAAATTGTTACAAGGAACACAACGATATGCAATTTATAGGGATGTGGGGGGGGTGCACGGTAAGGGGGTCTGGCCCACCGTGTAAGGCGTTTAATAAAAAAAAAAAAATGCCCGATAACTAAAAACGCTGCAAATTATTTCACATTGGTTTATTATTTCCAAACAATTATACATCTATAGTAACATTACCTTCCTAGTTACAAAGAAAAATAAATAAAAGGTGATTCTAATTAATTATTGAACAAATTTTTTTTTTAATCATTACCGATGAAATATAAGGAAATATAAACGATGTTGAATATGATGATTACGCACCTCAAAAAACTCCTAAACGTTGATTTTTATACCACTCGAAAAATACAATGTTTTTCGTTAATTTTTTTTATTTGCGGTTTTTAACGTCGCATCGACTGCCAGGTGGAGATAGATGGGTCAGTTCGGTATGACCAATTCTGAGCCTGCTTGTTGTAGAACATTCTTCTGATGTTAGGTGTTTTGGAAGATACCAAGCTCGATTTTCGTCTTTGGTCAGATGAAGGTGATTGGATGGCAGTATTCTCCAGTGTGCATTCCAATTGCCGTTCACATTCTTTGAAATTTCTCTTTTCCATTCGTTGAGAAACATCGATCCTAAATTAGGTGAATCTGTGCTTCCGGTGGCTTCCTTTACTCTCAGATCGGCTCGTTCATTGTCAATTATGCCAATGTGTGAGGGTACACAAAACAATATTATTTTTTGACTATTTTTTATTACTTTCAACTTCATAAGTTGATTTCTTTTATCCAATGTGTTACATGTCCACATAAAAATACATATTTTTAATAGTAACATTATCAGTTACCACCAACAACTTTTTTTTTTTTTTGGAAAATCAGAAATATTGTGATAACTTCTACAACCTGTGTTAAAATAATATAAAATATTTTGTTCTTGGCTAATAGAACGTATTAGCAAGAACCCTTGGACATAAGTTTAATATTTCTCTACCTTAGATCTCGAAAGACATAAGGTATATCATTGAATGATCCTACTTCCCTAACATCCCTTTGTAAGCAAAAATTGGCTGCATGGGCTTCAGAACGTCACAAATATCGCCTACAGACCAAATGACCTTTATGCAAACATTAATATTATTAGTGTTATTATTTTCAGGAATATCTACTAATGTAATTAAAAATGATTAAAGAAATTATTGGAGCCTCTGGACTCAAATTAAACCAATCTGGACGAAGTGAATGTCGCCATAGCGCTCTTACCGATATTTTCTTGTCACTAAGCCAGGTATCGTAACATTTATAATTAGTACTTTGAACCATATTTCTATATTTCTATTTAAATGTATTACTATATTAAATAGATTTACGTATGAACTTGACTTACAATCCATACTTCGTTCAAATAGTTGTATATCATTGATTTTCATTCCAACAGCTATTCTGACCTTATTCGGTATAACTCTGACGTAAACACAAGCTGTAATGTTTAGATGAACATTGTAATAGCTTTAATATTATTTAGTAATGTTTTTCTTTTATATTATAAATTTAAATTTAGTATTATTTAAAACATAGTTGTCTCTGATATTTACGTTGCAATTTAAAAATTATGTTCATGCAGCATTGGTGTGTAGAATTCTTAGAGGAACATACTGGAATTAATCCTCGAAGGAACGAACCTGAAATAAAAGTGAAACTGAAAAAAAACAAAACAAATATATATATATTTGAAAAAAAATTGACTAAAGATTAATTTTAAGACTAAGTCATTCATCTTTATAAAATTCTTAACAAAATTAAAAAATCTATTTCCTATTAATATCTATACCTATTTACTATAATCCTTTTTTTTTCTTGTTTGTTGGTTGGACAAGCTTCTTTTTATTATTCTAATCATATATCATATCCACAACTATTTATAACAAAATGTCACCTTCTCTACTTAGTGAAAAACCGGCACACTCTGGGCTGTTTTACTTAATTAGTAAGACAAAAATCAAAACAGGCATTTACTGAAAAGTTGTGAATGTTTACGAAATAACTCTTTTTAGAAGGAAAGTAAACACCATTTTATTAAAATAACGGTCGTGTTTCTATATCGTCTCTCAAAAATTGCCTATTTTCCAGTGTCATCTTTGAGATTATTCATTCAAAACAGGTCAAGAGTACAATTGAGTAGCAATAATTGGTATTTACTGTTTTTTGTTATAAATTATAGGTTTTTCTCCCTTTTTAATCGATATCACCATTAGGCCATGTCTAGTAGAGCGTCTATCAAAAGAATTCCGTCGTTAGGCTCAACACCTTGTTCTTCTCCTGTCAAACAAACGCCTCACCAATCTCGTCAAACACCTGCAGTAACGCCTATTAGCTCCAGAGAAAATGAAATCCAGGCAGGTATATCATCAAAACAAACAAGTGAAGAACTTTAGCATCAACCAGGTACATCTTTACAAGGGACAACCGAACAATCTCCATTTTTCAAAAAAATTTGGAAATATCCTTTTGGAACGAATCCTACCATTTATAGAATCCCAAAATATTCCTTCCTATCAGTTTTGTTTTCGTTCTCAACAACATTCTACCATTCAACAAGGACTCCGAGTTGCTGATTTCCTCAGCATTAGAAAACAAGGAATATTGTTCAGTTTCATTTCAGGACATTGCACAGGCATTTGACCGGGTACGGCACGCTGGATTCCGATCCAATTTCTCTGACCGCTCCTTTCGAGTTCACTCTGGAAGAGAATTTCATTTTCACAAGAGATAACCGAACAATCTCCATTTTTCACCCTCAACCCCTATCAGGTGCTTCAGAATGATAAAGAAGTGATGGAGTCCGCTCCGATACCAAGAAATCCCTCCGTTAAAGCCAGCAAGAGTTCCCCAAGGCAGTGTCTTGGGTCCCGTGCTTTACATCCTCTTTACTGCTGACATCTCTATTCATCCCGATACTTTCCTTGCAACACTCGCTGATGACACCGCAACTTATCATCTAACTCTGATCCCGAAATAGCACTCTTAAATCTCCAAAGGTTCCTCACCTTGATTGAGCACTGGTGTAATAACTGGCGCATTAAAGTTAATGAATCTAAATATTAACATATTACCTTTACACTCCGACGCAATTGCTGTCCACCAGTACACTTTAATTCCACCCAGCTTCCTTACTCAGACACAGTCGGGTATCTTGGCTTTCATTTAGACCGAAGACTAACAAGGAACCCACATACTAGACTCAAAAGACAAGAACTCAACTATACATACTACTAAACAGAAAATCTAATTTTTCTGTTGAAAACAAGTTAATTATCTACAAGAAAATAATGGAACCTATATGGACATACGGACATGAACTGTGGGAGGACAGCAAAATTTTCTAACATCAAATGTATCCAATCCTTTTAATCTAAAGTCCTTCGAACAATAGTTGATGCTCCGTTCTATGTAACTAACAAAACCATTTGTTCTAAACCTTATCCCAGAAAAATATTCCAAATTTCACCAGAACCTTACCTATCGGCAGTGGCCCAGAGACCTTCTGTGAATAAGAATATATTGGAGTTTTGGAAATGGCCAGATCCTCCACTCAAGTGAAGTATGTGTGCTTATAGCGCCTCTCCTCAGCCCCTACTGGTTCTTAATACCCGTAATGCGGCTCAGTCCGAGGCGCTGGGGTCTCCTAGAGCCCTGCCTTTCCTTCCACGAGTGGGGAGAAAGGCTTGACTCGGAGTTCTTCTGAGAGAATGGATTCTGTAAATATTTTATAGTATATATGTGTTTTAGTTGTGATTTTTATTAGTTTAGTTCTTTTGTTTATATACATTTACTTTTATTGTTATTAGTTTCTGTATTATTTATTGTAAATAGAGTATGAGATATTTATTTATTATATATTTATTGAATATTTATTATACTATATATTATTTATTATATTTAGATATTATTTATATATTAATATATTTAAAGCTTGAAAAATCAGGGTTAAAAAGTATGTAAACTATACATTCAGCCTAACGTAATGTATTACCTATGGAATGGACTTGTGGGTTAGCCAGATTTCAATTAACATAGTGTCTTATTTTCATGCTACATAGTATAATCTAATAAATACAAACTGTCAGTTTGTTAGAACGCAATTGTAGCGTCAGTATTGTTGTTGAAACTGTTTAACGTAACGGAAGGTCCTCGGTCAGTTTGAGTTTTGTCCTTTTATCTGAATTTGTCTGTTTATTTTGTGTTTCTAAGGTTGAAACAAATTTTAGGGACCTCACTGTTATTTTGTGGCGAAGCCTGGTTAAGATCATCATCCCGTTTCACTCGTCGTAATTGCTGCATTATCTCTATTGGGAATTCTGCCTGCCCTCGAACCTCTCTCCATTGGCTATTCCACGTATCTAAATCATTGATGTGCCACACCAGTGGCCTACGTTGCTGTCCTAACCGCTGGGTATAAGCTAGCTCCTGTTTCCCCTTTAATTCATGTTCCTGCTCTGACCGCTGTATCGACGCAGTATGTTTTTTCTGCCACGGCAATTGTGGCAACAACCACACGGAAAACTTTTTTCGCTCTCCTTGAATGTGGTGCCACGCCGGTCTCATGACAAATTTCAGCCCCTTCCCCTGCACTACATCCTTCTGCTTCACCGACATTCCTAATACATCACTATTAGGATGTGATGCAATGATTTGCTTAGATGAGTTGATGTGTTGACCATCACGTCCATGATGATGAACTGCTTTTAGTTGCAACCGTGGTTTCTCGAATAACGCGTCCTGCTGATCCTGTACTGACTCCTGGCGCAGGACTATATTCTGCTGTAACACAGACATATGCCTCAGCACTGGTACCTGTTGCTTAATTGACGCATTTAGTTCCATTGGTCCCAGTTGATGGACTGATTTTTGCACCTCCACTGGAATTCGGAGGTGATGGAGGCTCTGTTTCTTGATTTTAGCCTGATATAGTGTTTGTTGTTGCCGTACTGACGTTTGCTGATTCACTTTCCAGAACCATTGCTCCTCCTCTGATCTGTTTTGCCATATGCTGGGTGACTTCCTTCGTTTCAAACCCTTCGGTGGCCACATCTGCTTCTTCACCTGGACACGATCCTGTTGCGACGATCCTATTTGCATGAGACTGGGCTGTTCATTTTTTACTGTTACGATTGTATGCGACAACCTGAAATGAAAAAACAAGTATGAACAGAGGTCAGATTTTATGCAATTTCGTTTTTATTCCAGCACCTATTTTTTTCCTATGTCCTAGGACATAATGGATCTGCGATTCATCAGGTTCTATTTTTTTTTTATAAGTATGTATCTGATGATTTAAAAAAAGTTCTAGAAATAACAGTTATGTCGAAATTATAAGTGTAGGTTTTTTTATTTCTATCAAAATTCATATTTAAGAGTTATTCATTCTATTTAAACCAAACTTAAAACTTTTAACGAATCCAACATGATTTTTTACAACTAAAATTGATATGATCTACTTTAATGGAACAGCCCTTTGCATTTTGTATTTTTTGATAAATTATAATTCATGCAAATTCATTAAGATATAACGTAATTTATGTTTGAAATTATATAAAATATTTTTTTTTTTAGCGGCCTCATATAAAAAAACAGCCACCTGTCATTTTTAAAATTCTGGCAAAAAGCAAATTTTTGTTATATCGCTTCAATTTATACCAGTTCTGATGATTTTTATTCATAATTCAAACCTTTTTTAAAAATTTTTAATACAATCAACAGTTAAATCTGAGTTTTACTATTCACTATATTTACTTTCCTACCTATACTGCTAGGTATGCTACTATGTATATATATGTAACCATTCATTCAAAGTTACATTTATTAATTAACAATTTGTTTTACAACAATTTATATTAATTTTAATTTATTTTACAATTTAATTTTAATATAAGTGTAAATACAAAGGCTCGAGATTTTATTTTACTTACAAAAATTACGAGTTATAATTAATTAAACATGATACATTGTAACATAATTAACATAACGTATTGTAAAAAATTACCTAAGTAACACATTCAAAATTCAAAAAACCAACCAAAACAAAGGCAACATTTGCAGCAGAACATATTTAAAAAACTAGAGACCATATCTTGTCTCCTAATTGTCCGATTTTACCATTGCTGTCACATCTAAGGCATATACCTATCTTAAATACGTAATATCAGTTTCGTAGGACTTTTCGTTTTTGAGCTAGACTGCTATCATACAATCACACAGACACACAGACTATTTGTCGGGAGTTGGTCATTTCGACTCAGGGTACCTCAAAATGTGTATTTCCGTTTCAAACTCAGATTCGAAAATTTTCTTGAGCACAATACTTACCCTTACTATATATTACATATATACGTATGTGAAAGTAAAAATATTTTAAAATCGCGATATCTCTACTAATAGTGCTTTGATGTCGATTAAACTTCTTTCATTTTTTAGACAATTTAAATACCTTTGAAACATCTTATCACAATATAACCAAAAAAGTGTATACTTTTTGAGTTATTAGCGATTTTTCCCAGCTTCTTTTCGTTGAAGAATGTTATATACATAAATTTAAAGGATGTCGAGAAACTGACTTTAGCGAAGTTTCATTGAAATCGGTACATTCGTTTAGACGCTACAGTTTATGGCAACGCAAGTTTTTCTGCATTTTTATTTTTTTTCTCCTTTATTAACTTATCAAATTCTTTCAAAAGTTATATTTAGCATTCTTTCGTAACTCAGAATAATGTGAAATGATTAACTTTTTAAAATAAACCATATTTAAGGTACTTTAAAGGAAGACGTATATGAACATTGGGCATTTAAGCCCTGTAAAGTGACATCAATGGGGATAAGACCTAATTGATATTAAAGACCACCTAATTATACAATGATAATCGAGTTTATTCAAAATGTAATAATAAATCGAGAAAATTGTGAAAATGTGTTTCAGCGTTGATATAAAATGGCACTTACGGTTAGCCGATTTTAAGGAAAAAGTTGCTGTCACATCCAAGGCATATATTTATCTTAAATACGAAATATCAGTTTCGTAGGACTTTTCGTTTGTGAGCAAGACTGCTAACGTCCAAACACAGACCATTTTTCGGGACTTGGTCATTTCGACTCAGGGTACCTCAGGGTACGTGTATTTCCGTTGAAAACTCAGATTAAAAAATTTTCTCGATCGCAATACTTACCCTGACTATTTATTGCTACATACGAAAGTGAAAGTAAAAAAGAGTCGTCTATTCTGAACTAGTCAGCGAAGCTGAAACATATTGAATTTTATTCGGCGATTTTAATGATTGTTCACGTGCGCGTTAAGATTGCTTTAGTTCATCAAAAGAAACGTATTCAAATAATTTCTCTTACCAGTTTCCCGGAAAATTATTATAATTCTTTTTTTATTGTTAATGTACATGTTCAAAGCTATTAATTTGTGTGAAATCTGTAGGAGAATTGTGTGAGTTGACACATCAGATTTTTAATGTTCACCAAAAAATGGTTTAAATAGAAGATCTGCTGACTGTTAAATCGTCTTGCTAGTGTAACTAATTAATAAATGTTTTCTTTAAAGTTTAGCTCTATATCAAATGCACTTCATTTTCTTTTTGTAAAGGGCCAATTAATACAGAAAATGATTTTCAAACAAAGTAGAGTGGATAGTAAATGAACTTTGTGTGATGCCTCATCCAGGTTTTTTTTACATAATTAAAAATAATTTAGCTATTATTTTATACAAGGAAGGAAATGGCCCGGGGTGGCGATCATTAATAGACTAAATAGTGGCAAAACTATTTTATTAAAAGCCAACAGATTTTGCTGGTTCTCTTCACAGCTAGAACGGACAAGATATAAAAAGATATAGGGAATTATGGAAGTAACATCATATTTATACAAAAAATATCTGGTGTGTCCACTCACATGACTTTCCTACCTTTTTCAGAAAAGTTTTTATATCTTTACATATGTTCATGAAGAAACAAATATAATTGAACTATATACTTTTTCCTGAACATTGATCAAACATAAGATTTTAGTACGATTTATTTAATAAACTAAATCAATGTAAGCCGGCTTAAGGTAAATCAGTGTACAAATTTCAATACTTCCTAATATTGATGATCAAAAACTTTTTGATATAGCTTAGTATTGTCAAACAATAATTTCTGTTAAAAGTAGAGGAAATAGTGAAGATTGTTTTGTGAAGATTTCAAACCTCTCAAAACCATTAGAGCGGTTAGTCCAATCCCAGCTATCCCATTTTTTAGAGGACAATAATCTCCTAAATCCCTACCAGTCTGGATTCAGGCCTGGTTATTCTACTCAGTCTGCCCTAATCAAAATTTCCCAAGACCTTCACACAGCCATAGATCAGCAGAAACTAACCATCCTTATTCTCCTAGACTTCTCCAAAGCTTTTGATTCAGTACACCACAACATCCTCCTAACCAAACTTAAAAATATCTCTTTTTCTTATAGTTACCTTAATTGGTTCCAATCCTTCCTAACCGGTCGCTCCCAGTACGTTGTAATTCCTAATAACCCACCATCAGAATCTCTACCTCTGACCAGAGGCGTCCCACAAGGCTCTTCCTTATCCCCCACCCTTTTCTCCATCTATATAAATGACCTCCCATCCTCTATCCTGCACTGTCATTACCACCTGTATGCCGACGACATTCAAATTTACCTCTCCTTTAATCCGACAGATATCTCAGATGCCACTCAAAAACTTCAGGAAGATATTGACAGAATAAGTGCTTGGGCAAACCTCAATAGGCTCACTCTGAACGCCGAGAAGACAAAAGCCATCTTGATCGGATCCCCTTCACTCCTCAAATCCTCCCCAGTATCTCCCAATCTCTTCCTGAACAACTCACCTATCTTATTCTACACCACCGTTAAAAACCTAGGTGTTACTTTCGATCAATCCCTATCCTGGAAACCTCACATCTCCCAAATTTCCCGTCGCACTATCTCCACCCTAAAACAGTTCAATCGTCTACGATATCTCCTTCCATATAAGTCCCGTCAACTCCTAGTTTCCTCCCTTGTTTTCCCCCACTTCGACTATGGCTGTATGGTGTACGGTGGACTCCCGGGAGATTCCGAGGCCAAACTTAAACGCCTAATGAATTGCGCACTACGATTTGTTTTCGGAATCTCAAGGGATACGCATATTACCCAGTATTACACTGAGTTGAGGTGGCTCTACCCATCCTATCGCCGTCAGTACTTCCTAGCCACCTTTCTGTACCAAATTATTAGAACCCATCGACCCTCCTATATTTTTCACAGCTTACAATTCAAATATTCCATCCAATCCCGTCCCACCAGATCTCGTACTTCCGACCTCTATCCTCCTCCTCACCGAACTGCTGCGTTTGACAAATCCTTTGCAATACAAGCCGCCTCCCTCTGGAATTCCATCCCAGCTGATATTCGACACGCTCAATCAGTTTCCTCGTTTAAACCACTCCTCTTTAAGCACCTACTCCTTTCTCAATCCGAATGATTGTGAAATATATCTTAGAGAAATATCTGAGCACCACCAGAGACTACCTCAATTTATTAAGGTTATTTTAGTTTCTCATACATATGTACAATTTACTTGTTCTTTTTTTTCTCTTTTCTGTATTTTTATCGTAAGTCAACTTTCATTGTAAATATACAATTTAATTGTAGCCACACAGACATATAATCTGTATTCATATTTTGTTCTTAAGGGACAACAGTCCCAGAATAATAAAACATTTTTTTCATTTCATTTTCATTTCATTTCATTTCATTTCATTGTGTGATGCGGGCAATAGATTTTCTTATTTTCACTTAGTGATCTTTATTCTCTCATTTACCCCTTTCTGACACCAGGATATGAAACCGTAACCTTACGTTGGAAATTGAATAGCTGTAACTTCGTTAATAGTTGTCCAAAATGAACAATTTTTATATGGCTTTGTAAGGAATTTCATTACCTTTCAAATGACAGGCTTTAAATGTGTAAATGCCTGTCACAGGCATCAGTAGTCAAAATCCAAAAAAAAAAAAAAAAAAAAGGCAACAAAATCGGTTCAGTAGTTCCCGAGAAAATCTTGGCACAGACAGACAGACCAATGGCTAAAAATGTTTTTTTGGGGGGGCTCAGGGGACTCTGAAACT